TTTCCTATGCTCCCACTTATTTAAAATACAAATTAGGAAAACTTGGCAAACAGGGTGGAGCTTAGGGTTGCTAAGGCCCCAGGCTTGAGGAAAGCGCAACTGAAGAAATGGTGTCCAGCCATTGAAACCCTTAGAGCCGCCTCTCCCTACAGGTGCCAAGTAGTGGGTGAAGACTCATTTGTTTGTCAGTTTAGGCACAGACACGTGTCGCCCACTGTCCGCCCAGTCCCAAGTACTCACTGTCTCAACAATCGAGAGACTCAGGCTCTCAGCCTGCCAGGTCACCTGTGGACCTATAAACTCCAATCCCACAGGCGAGAGAGAGAGAGAGAGAGAGAGAGAGAGAGAGAGAGAGAGAGAGAGAGAGAGAGAGAGAGATTGGGCAGTGAGAGAGAGAGAGAGAGATTGGGCAGTGGTTGTGAGGGGTGGGGAAGGAGGACATGTATGTAAAAGGGAAAATAAAGACCAAAATGATAGGGCCCAGCATAGACCAGCGATGAGGATGTGTGCCCTTCTGTCAAAAGCAAGCAAAACAAAAGGGAAAACATAACATGGAACAAAACAATTCCAGGAAAATAAAAAAGAAGCCAAATCCTCTCACAAACCCCCAACACTAAAAACTGAAATAAAATTTAAAAATCTCAAAGTGCAGTCCCCTGCATGAACCATTTAAATTTTTTCCACTGCTGCCTGGGGCGCTGGTCCTGGATTACTGCTTCTGTTAACAAACTCAGAGAGTGAAGCTATGACCCTACCGTCCATCGGCGGAGGACAGAGCTCTCAATCCAGTGCTCACTCCTATACAGCATTGCCTGCCTTCTCTGTTACCAAAATGCCCGCCTGTGTGCCCTCGTTAGGGCTGCTGCAACCTGCGGGAAGAGGCCTGCAAAATCGGGGAAGAGTCCTCTCCTAGGTCCAGCGGCTGCTCTAAGTCCAAGCAGAAAGCAAGGGGATGCAAGGCAAGCTTAGTACAGACTACACTGCTGGAGAGGGGAGTCTGTTTCTGCAGGCCACTCCCCTGAAGCGGTGGCACCTTGCCAGGAGTCCTCAGAGGCATTTGTGGCAGCCAGGACCCTGCTGGGCGCCCACTATCCTCCTCTCTGTAAATGTTCCAATGTGTGTGTCTCTGCAGCGGAGGTCCAGTGCGGCCCCTGGGTTCTGAGGGGAGCCAGGTCCCTTTCCCCACACTCACATCCACAGAGGAAATTGTCCAGCCAAAGCCAGAGGCCCTGGCCTTCCTCTGTCCTCGCATGTCCCCAGCCACGGCTCCCAGGTGAAAGCGGTTGAGCTAGTGGGTGGTGGTGTTGGGAGGGGATCCCAACATTCACTCATTCAAAGGATCCAGCAGTTTTCCTGCGCTCCTGCTCCCAGACGCGGTGCTGGGCAGGCGGGGAGAGCCACAGTTCTTATGCGGAGGGAGCGCTCTGAGAGCAGCCTCTGAGTCCTACCCAATCCCGGCCGAGGAGGCAGCACTGAGTTGGGGGCAGCCCGAATGGGTTTTTGAGGCCCGCGGGCCCAAGGGACCGCTTCAGCTAAGTAGGGACAGGCACCACGCTCGTTGTTTGTTTTTTGCTGGCGGACGGCCATTCCAGGCTCTATTCAGACGTGTTGTTGAATTGAGTTGGGATTGATCTGGGAATCACACGGGAGCATCTGAGTGTGCTGGTGCTAGAGTAGACTGAGAGGTTGCAGGGAGTTCTGGGTGTGAGTTGCCCCACCTCTTGTGACTACGGGATTCCAGGTCCACCAAAAAGGCCTTTGCGCCGCCACTGCCCCTCCCCCACCCCAACCAGTGCACTTACAGCCATGGCAAGGAGGCGGCCTGTTCCTTCCAGCTGCCTCCTGACCCTGGCTGGCAGCTCTTAACAAATATAAAACAAAAGGATCCCCCACTCTACCCCTCACCAGCCGGAGGGCCCTGCACTGAGGTGTGGGGAGGCTTGCCGGGCTACGTGGTCTCTGGGGAAGCCTAGCTGTGTGCGCGGTGGGATGTGCGGTGTTTCTGTTGTGTGCATACGCCTGTTCTCCCAGCAGCCTTGTTTGTGCAGTGTGTGGCAGAAAGCAGCCTCCTTTTTAAGGTGGGGGAAGCGGCAAGGTCCGTCTCCTTGGTTCCCTGACCCGCGCATTTCCGCAAAGGCAGTCAGAAACTTGAGGGATTGATTGAGGGAGGGTTCCTGAAGAGGGCTGGGGGAGCTACACGTTTGGTCTGCGAGGTGTCCGGAATCCTCTTTTCATCAGCCAGTTCTTGACCTCTTGGCTGCTCACCTCCAAACAGGGCGGTGAGTTGGGGAAGGCCCCTGAGAAAGGAGGCCCACTCCTTAGAAGTGGTTTGTGGGTCACCTCAGAGCTCCCCCTTTTTCAGTAAATGGAGTATTTACCAAGATTCTCCTGGGTGTTTGCAGTTTTATAAACATCACTTCTGACCCTTAGCACAGTCCTTCAAGGGAAGAGCTATGGGTTTCTTTGTACAGATGAGGATACTGAGGCTCAGAGGGGCAAAACACAAAAAACAGACAAAAACTAAAAACTAGTTCAAAGTCAAATGGCTGTAAGGCCAGTATTCCAAACCAACTTCACTTAATTCCAGCGCCCAGGCATTCCTCTTCCTCCTCTGTGCCATGGGTCTCTCCAAAAGGTGTGCTACCTTGGGATGGAGCCCTCAGGGGAGCAAGTGTGGTGTGAAAAAGAAGCAGAAATAAGGGTAAAGACACAGTGGGACTGGGTCTCTTTCTCAGAATCCTCTTTACCAGCATCCTGAAGGCTACAATGGCAAATGCCTTTGTTCCACCTTTTCAAGTTTCCTCCAAAGATACTTAAGATGTGTTCTCAGAAGTCAAGGGCTAAATGCACTCTCTGCTCAGATCACACTGGAGGAACATTCCTCTTGGGGCTAAGGCACTGCTGACTTGTCTTCATCAATTCTGGGGCTTTCCTTTGTCAGAGCCCTGGGCCCTGGTGGGGCCTGGAGTGAGCGGGTGACCCTGGCTAGGAGGGATTAGCGGTAAATAACATCCCAAGTATCGCAGGCCTATAATAACCTCTTTGTTATTAAATAGGGAAAGACAAAGGGATTTATGAGGGCCCTGTTTACCTTTTAATTCTTTTAGGTGCATAAATATACCTTCTATGCTATATTTTCATTATATTGTACAAATGTGATGGCATCACTTGTATGTGCATTTACAAAAATACACCTTCTGACAATGCACACATGTCTCTCTCTGCCTGGCTGTGGACTGTTCCTAGCATAGGTGTCTTGCACCCCGTAGAACTCACAATTCTCCAGGAGAAGAAAATGCCCACCCATAGGTGGGGTGTGAGGTGCTGAGAGTCACAGGCACTTCAGGGCCTTAATCTAGTAGTATGGGTTTAGCAGACTGATTTCTCCATTTCTGTAAGCCCTGCAGATTTCCTTAATGGAACTCCAAGGTGGCTGCTATCCCCTCGCAATTATGAGATGGCATCTAATTTAATCCTAGGTACCCACAAGGTCCGCACACCTGCTGGAATCCCTGCTGGGCGGGGACTACCCTCTCCCATGCCCTCCCAAGCCTGCTCCCAGAGCAGCAGTGGGCACCCCCACCTCTAGGTGACCACATCTGATACCGGGAGTGTCTCCCAAGACCAGTTTCCCTGAGTCTATGTCCAAGACAGTCATCAGTCAGCTTCACACTGAGCAGCCTCCATGCTCTACTCCGGCCCTGTCCCCCATTTCCAGAGCCTCCCAAACCCAGCAGCTGAGAGGAGGCTGTGTTGAACTAGGACAAGGTGTCCCAGTCTCTGTGTGAGCAACCCAGCTGAAATCAAACAAACTCGGGATCCTGCCGGTTGGAGGGAGCTCCAGTGAGGCTGGCTCCCCCTCCCCAGGCGGTGGGGCCAGGAAACTGCAGAGGACCGCGGCAGGCAGGACGAGCATTTAAGAAGGAAGAGACTAGAAAAAAGCAACAGGAGAAAGCTGGGCGAGGGAGTTGGAGAAGGCTAAGGGAACCCTTACCCACGAGTGGCTCTTCCGCGCTATGGGTCTCCCGGTCCGGGGCTCTGGGATGCTTTGGCCGTGGCCTAGAAAAGGGCTTAGAGCAAGACGCCAGAATTCCTTTTCTCTTAGGGCGAGACGCGATCCGGCGAAGGCTGAATCAAGAGCTTCGTTTGAGGCTGTCTGGGTGGGGGGTGGGGTCGGGTGGGGGTGCGGTGGTCAGAACAGCCCCATTCTCGCGGGGAGAGGGCCAGGGAGAGCTGGGTGCTCGGGCGCAGTCCAGAGGCGCTTGCCGAAGAGAGAGAGCTGAGAAGGCGAGCTTGGCGGAGAGAAATGGCCCGGAACGAAGAGAGGTGGGAGAAGTGAGGAGACGCCAGAGGGCAGGCAGAAAGAAGGCCTCACCGACAACCGGCTGGGCCCAGACCCCGCGAGAAAGTTGGAACCAAGAGCGAAGCACAGGCGGGCGAGCGCCGCGGAAGCCATCCCCGGCGTCTCGGTGCCTCTCCTGAGAACAACCCAGCGGTGCGGTGCGTCGCTGGGAATGGGAAACGAGGCTGGGCCGGAGGCGGAGAATCTCCCCGGCCGCAGAGCAGAGCCCGGGCCTTCTCTCCGCCCCGCGGTTCCTGGCTCTGGTGCCTCCTCGGCCTGACCCCACGGAGCGCCCGTGAAGCTTCTCTCCGCACCCGCCGCGAGGCACGCGGAGTGGGGACCCGTACTCCCACCTCTGCCCGCGCCTCAGTAACCAGCCGGGACGAGCCTGCGGTGAGGCGCCTGCCCGAGAGGCTGAGAATTGTACGACAGTGAAACGGGGATCTCTTTGGTCCCATTCGCGGCTTTGTCCTTTGCACTCCTGTCAATGTCCAGCAGACAATAGTCACTGAAAATAGTATTTACGGAATGAATGACTGAATGATTACTAACGGAATGAATATATTAATTGGGAGGTGGAGCCTGCGGGAAGGTCGGAGACCTCAGTTAGGGTAGGGTCGGGGGTCCAGTAGCTCAGGGAAGCGAGCTGTCCTCTTACCTCGTACCAGGATGCGGCGGCAGTGGTCCGTCTCTCCGAGCCCGGGCTGCCCGTCGCTGTCGGCGCCGCTCTCCCTGGAGCCCGCGGGGCTGGAGGCGGAGGTCCTGGCAATCTCCCCTGGGCTGTGGCCGCCGGCCTCAGCTCTCGAATCTTCCGCTGCGCCGCGGTCCCCGCCGCGCCCTCCGCGAGACTCCCGGCGTGCGGGGCCACGGTCGCGTTCCGCGCCCCCATCACCCATGCCGGCAGCCGCCGCCGGTTCTGCCACTGCCCGGCCAGCCTGGGCAGGCCCAGCCGGCGGCTCCCCGCCCCTCGCGCCCCTCTTCTGACTGGGACCCTCCTCTTGCCCCGCCCCCGCTGGCTGCTCCACCTCTTTCTGCTGATTGGGCCTGTTTCGTAGCTCTCCTACTCCCAGGGGCGTGATGAGGGGCCGCGCCGGCGGGAGGGCGGGGCTGAGGGGGCGCGAGGGCCTCACTTCTCCACCCCGCGTCTAGCCCCCCTCCCAGCCCGCAAGGGGAGGCTGCGGCGGCCTTAGGGTAGTGTGGGACGCCCTACATCTTCTCCTCTAGTTATCAACTCCCTCCCCCAACCGCCAGCCTACACCCCTCCCCACTCCCCTGGTCCCCAGGGAAGCACACGGCCTTAGAGCTCCGGCTTTTCAGCTGGATTTATAACCAAAATGCTCCAGGAAGGTGGCTCTGGGGAAACGTAGCAGAAAACTGGAGGTCGGCCTTGTTCCGGTGCTTGGCGGGTTGGGTGGCTGTAGGCGGGGACTCAGGCCTGGAGTTCAGCGCTCCACCCCCGCCCCCAGATTCAGACCTCCAGCCACACTCTTGAGCCCAGACAGAAGGCCCCTCCTGGCATTCCAGGGGGAGCAGGGCTGAGAATGTAGTAAAGGAGCCAGAGAGAGTGAGGCATGGGGACTGTTGGAATGACCCGGACTGGCCACGGGAAAGAAAACGGACGGGCAGACAGATAACCGGATCCAGGAGCCGAGAGGGTCGACTGAGGACGAGATTGATAGGCAGTAAATGCTCGGTTCCCCTCCGGCTCTGAGGTCTTTACACAGGGAGCCCTACCCTCAGACAGGGATAGAAGGTGGACATGTCCTCGTGTCACGCCCCCACCCACTGAACCCCTTCCCCACCGCCCCTCAGTCCTGGATCCCAGACCTCGCCATCGCTGGGCTGGAGAAAGACAAGGGCCAACGTGAGCGCGGCTGGAGGTCCGCTGGGCTGTGAAGCTGAGCAGTGGGTGACCCTAGGCATTGCTCGGCCGTCAGAGGCGCGTCCAGGTCCCCAGCACTTTCTGAGGATCCCGTGCTCACCCGAGTTTAGCTTCTCCTTTGATAGCGCCAGGAGGGGCCAGGTCCGGATTTTTGCTCCTTTAACTGAGAAAGGAGCTCAGAAGATTGAAAGAGGCCAGAAAAGCCGCGTGTGCGCAGGAGGGCCCATGACACTTTTCTCTAAAGCGCTCTCACAGCAGACGTTGCTTTTCCGTTTTTGGCCCTTATGCTAGGGTGAATGAAGATGCTTCAGTCCGAGGATCTGGGGCGGGGGCCGTGGATGTGCGGGTGTAAATGGCCGTGGCATGACTGAGTGCATTACTGGTGCAACCTCCATGACTCTGATGAGCACATGTGCAGGTACATGAATGTGTGTGTCAGTGTCTTAGTGTGCATCCAGTGTGTATGTAAGCAGCTGAGTGTGTGTATGTGTTCTATCTCAAACATCCCCAGCCTAAGGCAGGTGGGAGGGGGCAAACCTATTATTTAATTGAATAATTAAATTTCTGTGCCTCAGTGCTGGGTTTGGAATCCTGGGAAGGGGGAGAATTTGGGGGCCAGAAAGGAGGCCTGCTGCTTTGTACCAATGAGAGGGAAGGAAGGCAGGAAGAAAGGAAGGCAGGAAGGAAGGAAGGCAGGAAGGAAGGAAGGGAACTTGCCCACAAGGTAATTTGGGTGTGGGAGAGGAAGTGGCACCGTTTGCTCTGGGCGTGGGGCAGAGTGCGCAGAGGGAGGGCAGTGTGGGCCAGCTGCTGATGCTGAGAGTTCACAGGGCCCGGGGGCCTGGGAGAAAGAGGTTTATAGTTACTGGGGGGCTCTTAACACCCCTGGAGAGTGTGACTCTGAGGGACCCAGCTTTGCTGGAAGGACCCATGCTGCGCGTGTGCAGTGGGCCCTCAGAGCCTTGGAGCCTGGCCCCTGGAGGAGCAATAGCTCTCCTCTGCCACCCCCACATGAGACAGGGTGCCCCCACCCTGGCCCAGTCTCCTGATCTAGCCTGTCATCATGTCCCACTCCAATCCTTCTCCTCTCTGGCTCTCTCAGTTTTACTTTTATTATTTGAGCAAGACATGTCTAGTATAGAAGAATTCTAAGCAGAAAGCAGACACTCCACTCGAGGCTTTGCAGCCCCCAAGCCTGTTTCTCTTGTCACACAAAAGGCCCAGGCTTCTATTCAAAGAAAAATGAAGGGAACAGCACGTGAACCTTGCTGGGTTTTGTTTGTTTTCTCCTTTTTAAGTGTTCATTTCACAAATGACATCATTCTGTGGGGGAAGCTCAGGTCTGCGTTTTGGTGTCCTCTCCTAAGGTCCACGATGGGCTTCCTGGCGCATGCACGCTCGCTGTGAACGGGTCTTTCTTCCGAGAGAAGCGCGTGGTCTCCCGCAGAGCTGCGTGGAGCCAGGACCGGGAGGTGGGTCGCCTCCCCTTCTCTGGCTGCTTTCTGGGGGAGCCCAGCAAGGAACACCCGAGGGGGCTGCAGGACAGCCCCGGGTAACTCTGGGAAGTTCGCGGTTGTCCCCTTTCTCCCGTGCCTCTTTTTGTTTCCTCACATTCTTTCTGGGCTGTATGGGAGTGGGCGGCCCGCAGGAGTGCGGGCTCTGGCTCTCTCTTTGCTGCAGGACTTCGAAGTGAGCCCCGGCCTCCGTGACAGTACGCGGGATTCAGTGAGGAACTCAAGGCTCTTGCGCAGTGAGGCGGAGAATGGTTTGTGTGTATGTGGGGGTGGGGGGTGGGGTTGTTTGATATCTGCACCAAGTCTGGGCCCTGGCCGGGTCGAGATCTGAGGTAGGCAGCTCCGGATCCTGGACGGCCGCCCGAATCCAGGCTCTCCAAACCTAGGCCCCCTCGCGCCCCTCCGTTCTTCCTGGGGCACATTGCCAGAGCCGTCTAGCGCTCCCCTCCCCAGGAGGGGGTTGTGCGGAACGACTGGGTTCCCACCCACGTGCTTCCAGGCTACCTCCTGCGCGTGCTGGATGAAGAATGGGTGCACCTGTAGCCAATACGGCCACGTGGCAGGGATGTGTAAGGGGGGCCTTGCTGGATGTGCGTGTGTGCAGGCTTGTTGGGACGCCGTTTTGCTCTAGGGGATCCTCTCGCCCGTAGTAATCTAGACGCAGAGCTCCAGATATTTTGAGTTTGCCTGACAAGAGTTCGCTAGGATCTGGGATTCCTCGACAGGCAGCGGGTGGGGGAGGCCAGAGTCACAGGCCTGCTGCCCTTGCTCCCACTGCCGTCTGCACTGGCGGTCTCACTGTCCTCTCAACCCAGCCAAGATCCTGGGGACCTGGAGAAAGTCCTCTGCTTCTCTCTGTCCCCTCCGTTTTTGTAAAGCGATTCAGGAACTTTATCCTGAGAGATGGGGCTGTGTGTGTGGCGGGGGTGGTCCCAGGCTATAGGAGGGAGTGGGCACTCTAAATTGCTTTCTTAGTGGCTCTTGCCAGCTGCAGCTCCCGTGTAGACAGATCCTAGTATTTTCTGGCTCTTTCTGGGTCCAGCAGGGCCACTGCACCCTGAGGCTCAGCTGAGATCTCCACTCTGTCTCCTCCGTGGCCTCTGAAGGCCCCCAGGAACTAGTGAGCTTCAATTTTGCCCAATTAGCAGTCTGAACACAGGGAGCGATTTTGTCCTGGGCTAGAGTTGGCTGACACGCTGACACATGGTGGTCTAGTCCTCCGTTCACAGCAGGAATGGGTTGAGGACAGGTCAGGAAGGGGTACCACCAACCTGAGCTCCACTCAGGTGCTCTCTAGGACGAGGCCTCCTGAGGGTTCCCACAAGGATCAGCCTGCGCTGGGGAAAGAGCCCCTTCCCCCTTTGGCTTTGCCTTGTTCTCAGCCCTGTTTGCCACCCTCCAATTCCTACTGTTTCCTCAGGGCGTGGGCCTGATCCAGTCTTCCTCCAGGATCATCCAGTTTCTCCCCACTCACCTTCTTCATGCCTTTTGACCAACTTCCTGACCCTTGGTGCTGCTGAGGGTTCGGTCCCAGCAGGTTTGGGTACATAAGCCATGACCCGCCCCCACCCAACCCAAAGGGGGCCTTCTAGGGTGGGAACTGTGGCCTGTCCTGGGTTCTTGGGGAGTCATGGCGTGTATATGGTTGGGTGGGAGTTAGAGCCTGGATTCACCCAGATGCTGCTTGTACCTCAGTAGAACCCTCCAGTCCTCCACTGGAACCGAAGCCCCGGATGGAGCCTTCAGAGTCCCCTTCAGGTGCTCAGAACCTGGAATGTAGGAGGCCCAGTCCTGTGTCTGGCTGTTCTTCCTTCCATATTTCTTGGGTGCTCTGGTAGGCACATCAGGCCAGTTCTCCTGGCCCGGCCCCCTGGCCCCGGCCCAGCCCTGCTCTTTCTGGTGCCACTTCCCTCTGCTGAGTCTGGGGCCAGGCCTCTCTCCTGGGCCACTGGGTGCCTGGGTGGAGCTTCTTAGTTGCTCCTAGTGTTGTGCCCTCTGCCCCTCCCCAGGCTTCCCTTTCCTTCACTTCCTGTCCTTCCCCTTGGCCTCTCAGTCTCCACCACCTTGGTCCCCTCTCTTAGTCTGTGCGCATCCCAGCCAATTCCCTAGCGCCAAGGCTCAGAAGTCTGGGTTCCCCTGACTGCCTGACCCTCTTTTTGTCTGCGATTCTTGTCCGTCTTTCTTCTCTTTGGTTCTGGGGCCCCACTCATGGACCCCTGGGAGATCCTGGGTGGCACGCACCAGGCCCCCAGCCGTCACTACTGGGGGGGGTTCCCCTGCAGTTGAAAGGCCCTGGGAGTTTGGGGTGAACAGGGAAGGACACTCTTCAAAGACTATGCTGGGGAGCACAAAACCCAGCTGGAAAAAACAATCCAATCACCACTCCCTTCCCTGGCCTACCTGTGCTCCCTGTCCCCATGTGCATGGGAGCCAGACCTCTGCACTGGAACATTGGGGGGGGGGCTCACTGTCCCTCCCTCCGGTAGGGAGGGATTGAAAT